CTCTTATATCTCCTTCTCCTTCCTTCCCTCCCTTCCCCCCTCCCCCCCCCCCCCCCCCCCTCCCCCCCCCCCTTTCTCCCCCGCCTCCCCCCCTTCCTCCTTCCTCTTCCCTTCTCCCCCTCCGCTCTACTCTCCCCCTCCCCTTCTCCTCTCCGCTTTTTTTTTTGGCCCTCTGGCGACACCGTCGCACCCTTTGTTTTTTTTTTTTTTTTTTTTTCTTTTTTTTTTTTTTTTTCCTTTTTTTTTTTTTTTTTTTCTTCTTTTTTTTTTGTTTTTTCCCTTTTTTTTTTTCTTCTTTTTTTTTTTTTTTTTTTCTTTTTTTTTTCTTTTTTCTTTTTTTTTTTTTTTTTTTTTTTTTCTTTTTTTTTCTTTTTTTTTTTTTTTTTTCTTTCTTTGTTTTTTCTTTCCTCGCCTCCATCTCTAATTTTTTCTGTTCTTTTTTTTTTTCTTTTTCTTTTTTTTTTTTTTTCTTCTCTCCTCCCGTTTGTGTTGACGAGAGATATAGCGGAATTGGCTGGCATTTTTTTTCCCGTCCCCGAAAAAACATCATATTAACGTCACCACTTGATCTTCTTCTCTGTCGTGGTATCTGCTCGTATTGTCCGATGACTAACTGGATTACAAATGAGATAGTCGATACGAATGACATCTTAGGCGCCAGTCTATAATTGGGTCATCGTTAAGTCTTTGTCTTGACTTCGATCGTACAGTTTTGGTCTTTGCTGAAGAAAACTTTGAAAACGCCAATGGCTGTTCGGAAACACACTGCAAGTATATTGACAATGTGTAATACCCCAGGTATTTGAAACGACTCAATCAATTTTCACAGCACAACGCTCTAATGAAAAAATGAAAACAACGGTGCGTAACGCGTTTGGGATGAGTTGACGAGGATTTCAAAGAAAGGATAGTCTCAGTGTAATCTGAAAAAACTTTTCCACTTTCCGCTCATAACCACCGTTATGATTCTATGATTGCGATCCAATGAAGCTGCATGATTTGCAAAACTTCAACCAGACGCAGGAATTGAATCCGCGTTTCACGTTCTGCACATCACTTAGCAACTTAGCTATAGCTCAGTTCCCTTAATTCTTAATGTATTGATATGAAAAATCTGACGTAAACGGAGAACAACGTAAATCAATAATTATAGGGGAGATCTAATAAGCCCATGTTTTACCAGAAAAATCCTAGTTCAAGATTGTCAGACGTGATAGCCTTAAGATTGGCTCAAATTATAGATCTGAGCAAACTAGAAGCGATGCAAAATATCTACAGTAATCCTCCAAAAGGCCCATAGAAGTGTAAAAAAAATATTTGCTAAATATTCTTTGATATCTAAGCTTATAGTAGCAAATTTAACTAAAGGATCCAAAACAAGTGAGCGCCACATCAAGATACCGCCGGGAAAAAAATCACCAAACTGTACTTTTTTAGTCTAAATTCTTTTTATTTTGACTGCCACTTGCAGTGGTATGATGTTATTGTATACCCAATATGTGGAGTGCTGTGCAAAAACGTCTGCGTCAGCCGGGATTCGAACTCAGATCTCACTATTTCCGAGCGTCGGTAGTGCAACGGTTAGCATACGCTCCCGGAACGAGTGAGATCTGGGTTTGAATCCCGGCTGACGCAGACGTTTTTGCACAGCACTCCACATATGGGTGTACTATTTTACCTCAGTACCTTTTTGAAATCAAAGCCATCTAAGTCAGACATCTTCAAAAAATAACTCGATATTCCAAAATTCTAATCGATTCAATCAATAAATCCCAAGACCGACTATCTATTAACCTCGGTATAGTTCAATTCAATTCGATTCAATTAATATTTGTTCGTTCTCCGAGTTACTGGAATTTCGTTGGGTATCAGTTGAATTCTGAGCGTGAATTCACCGACTAAACTGTATGCACAGATTAAGGAAAAACTTTAACATTATAATAAAGCAAAAACTGAACAACAAAAACAGTCTTTATCAGTGAGAGAACCTATCAGAGTGAAAAGTATTTGATTAGCTCCCTAGTAACCAAGAACCTCACTTGAGCCTAGAGTTTATCGAAAATTAACCTCACTGGGGACTAAGAGAGTCTATCGGTTCGTGCCTTCCGTATTGACATTTCAGTTTTACAGAAGAGAAATCAGGCGGTTGATGGTTCTCAGAACTTTCTGATAATTCAAGATCTATTTTCCAGTCATTAAGACCTCGAAAAATCGCTCCCAAGGAGCAGAATGAACAGAATGAAATCCATTGAAGCGGTAAATGGATGAGTAAAAGTGACGAAACAACAGCGTAACTCGGAAAAAACCCAGAAATTCTTAGGGAGTTTTAGTAAATTCCGTACACGTTTAGAGAGCAACGCACACGGCATTCATCAAAGTGTTTGCCACTATAAAGAAAAAACTAACAAAATGGCCACAGAAATAAGATCTAGATAAAAGAATAATTGGAAAAAGAGTGCAAATAAACTCTTACTGAATCGGATACAAAACTTATCAGCAAAATTATTCACTTGATTCACTATTGACTAAGAAAACAACCTTAGTGGAGCCTAAAGTCTGTCGAAAAACAACCTCGGGGAGATTTACGAGGATTCTAACGGGTCACCCCTTCAACGTAACTTTTCGATTCTATGAAAAGAAATTTTGAGAGATTGACTATCTATTAACCTCGACATAAATTAATAATTTAGGTCCAATTTTTCAATCAACGAAACTTCGAAAATTCGTTCACAAGGAGCACAGTGGTCAGAATGAAACTCATTGAAGCGGTAAGAGACGAGTAACAAGTAGCAAAACCACAGCATAAGCTAAAAAAAAACTCTCGGCGTTGATCATCCCTGAGGGATGTGCCGCGCATTCGTCCTCAATTTTTAACTTCGTTTGAGGTGATTGGATGCACATCTGGCCTTTACAATGACTCGCGGTGGCCTCCCGCTGAACCGAGCTAGTGCTGCTTATCATCCCAGACATGTCTGAGACCAGTCTGGTACAAATTTACCGACCCCGGATGGATGGATGGCTCGGTGATCGATGAGCGCAAGACCGAACCACTGACCTCGTGTGCGACGCAGAGCACCTCTGACCACTGCGCCACATGCGTTCTTAACAACAACAGCATAACTGAGGAAAAAACCCAGAATTCTTAAAGAGTTCTAGTAAATTCCGTATATGTACAGAGAGCGACGCACACGGCATTCATCAAAGTGTTAACCCTTATAAGGACAAAAAACTAACAAAATGGTCATAAAAACGAGGTCTGGAGAAAAGAACGGCTGGAAAAATGAGTGAAAATAAGCTCTTACTGAATGAAATACAATTTTACCAGCAAAATTATATCCATCTTTAACTAAACTAAAGCATCAAAACATTAAAGCATTAAAACACAGTAAAACACTCTATTTTACTAACTAAGCTAAAGCAAAATTATATTCCTTACTAATCAGCTAAGAAGATAACCTCAATTGGGCTTGGAGTCTATCGAAAAGTTACCTCAATGAGCACAAAGAGAGGCTATCGGTTCGCGCCTTTGGCGCAACTTTTTGGACTTTACAAAGAGAGAAATTAGGCGAATGGTGGTTCTTCAATCTTTTTAAATTTATTTTTTAATCGACGAGCGATCGCAAAAATCACCGACAACGAAGAGAACAAACAGAACAAAAGTCATCAAACCGGTAATGGAAGGAAAAAAAGCAACGATAGAACACCCAACCACCGACCATCGGCGTCTAGAATACAATAAGATATTATTTTAAATGGCGATGCCGAGTGCAGACGGAGAGAGTCGCAGCGACAGACGCAGAGCGGACGACTTTCGCACGGCCGCCGCTCACGACGCCGATGAATGCCGGCTGACTGCCGGCTGCGATAAGATCGTTATTGATCGCTGATCGGTTGGCTTCCAATCGATAAACCGCGATTGGGGGATGGGATGTCTGTGTATGGAGTGAATGCGCGGGCGCGCTCAGTCACAGGCCACTGTTTTAACCCTACCCGAAGGGTGAGGGTTATTTCAAAAGCTCAATTTTTCAGAGGCCTTTTTTCGCTGAACAGAGCTTTTTCATTATTTCGGTAGTCGTTCGAAAGCGTAAATCTCGGCGATTTCAACAGTGCACTAATTTTCTTTAGAACCTTTTTTTTATTACGCTGCAGCAACGAAAAATAAAATACAATGATGTAGAGTGATGTGCAAAACTTTCGCATCAGGCGGGACTCGAACCCGCTTCTCACTCGGAGCGCATGCGCTCCAACCGGTTGCATTACTGACGCCCTTTTGCTTGCCACCCTTTCGACGCTTCAACGCACTTATCTGTCAGCAACTAACCGTCAACAGTTTGGCTCATCTCGATACTGAACTCAGTCACGCTGACAAATATTGGGTATGGATGATCAAATACTCTTCTTATCTATCCGCTTTCATCGGTGGTATTATGTCGCAACCGACTACCTGGGCTAAACCGTTGACGATTGGTTGCTGACAGATAGATGCGTTGTAGCGTAGAAATAGTGGTGGGCAAAAATGGGTGCCAGTAGTGCAACGGGTTAGAGCACGTTGTCCCGGATAGACTGGGATGTGGGTTTCGAGTCCCACCTGGCGCGAAAGTTTTGTGCATCACTTTACATCACTGAGTATATTCATAGCATCATACACCGCTAAAATCGGTCAAATGAAAAGAATTCTATTTGGAAATAAAGTCATGCTTCACACTCGGAGTGCTTTTTTGACGGCTTAGGGGGAGCGAGGTGAATGATTCCATATAAATACTCATTCGAAAGCACAAATCTCGCTGATTCTGCATCTACATTTCGTTTTTGAGAAGGTCTCCATAGTGCGTTGTACGAGCGAAATAAAAATTACGTTTCACATTTGAAGTCCTTTTCTCACAGAAGAGTTATTCGTGCCCAAAAAGTACATGAGTGTGCAGAGAAAATTATGGAGCATCAGATTATAAAAGAAACCTGAGTTTTTTTCAAACGAGGAAAAAAATCTCTGCAAAACAACGAACATCGCGCACCGAATGCATATTAATTATGCTGCCTTCTCGAAAAGGTTAGTCCGAGAAGCAACCAGACTGAATCCTTTGTAGGGGACGTGAGCTGCAATGGAGATACTGTTGTTATTTTCCATCAATTATTGTTTTGATACTCCCCGATGCTGACGTATGGAGAACTCTTCGGGAGTCATTGGAATGAGGCACTTTTTTTAAACTGTATCTAGCTTTTCTATACTAAAGGTTTAGCTTGCTGAACTCTGTACGTAGGATTACCCTCGGGTAGCTTGCCAGTTTCTTCCGCAGCGACAATAAGTAGCTCATTTCTTGAAGGCTACTCCTAACCGCCTTCCATGTACTTCTCGGTCGCTTGATCGCATGCTTTTGGCCAATTTGACTAGTAGAAATAGAGGTCTGTCTAACCAAAACAACGAATCAATCTTCTCCATCCACTTGCGTCTGTGGGAAGCACAAGGCCGTTCTTGGTCTGCGTATAATTCCCTATCTATCACCTGGGGACGTATCGCGTTCCCTCGGATTATCCGGGCAGAGATCCTTCAGTAAGCGAGATCCGTGGTAAGTCTTATTGGTGCCCTCTTGAGTCTCTTGACGATCAACAGGACAACAGGTGGATGATACAGGTGATGGTTATAATGGGAGTGGATAGTGGCAGTGATCGGGTTCCTTACTATGACGGCCCCGACCTAGCTAAGCGCTGGCTCAACCTCTGTTCACTCCGGGTCCGTCAAGCCTCTCATCCCTCCCAAGTCGAGAAATCGGTACTAAATTTGCGAAGGGCAAGCTGAATTTATACATTATATGCAGGAACGTCGAGAACGATTATCCTAGAGTTTGAGGTGGAATAAACTCTGCCTTAACGACAGTCGAGATAAAGGAAAAAATTTCTTTAAGAAGAAGGCGATCTATGCGTATATAAAAAAGTCTGAAGACTCCTCGTTAGGGGTAGATGGTAGGAAAAAGAATCGAATCAATATGATATAATCCTATGTCTCTAAAAAAACAAGTAGATAATCATTAGTAAATACCGCAAATTTGTTTCTCATGTTTTACTAAAAAAAAACTTATAAAGCTAACTCAGTAGGAAAAGTAGTTTTGCGGTTGATACACTTCTAGAAAGATCTTGAGTACAATCAGCACAAAAACAATGAGGGATTTTTCTCAGAAAGCCAATTTCGAAACAATGAATCTTTGGCGTGATTTATAGAACCGACAAAAGATGTTCACTAATGATGGACGAGCAGATTTGCATACGAAAATAGGCTCATCGAAAAATTCTCTGGAACCAGAAACAGAAGAATGTGATCTTCTGAACCAAAAAAAGGTAGGTAGGAGTATAAAAGACTTGAAAGGCGAGAAACGTTAAAACGCGGAAATCTTACGTGCCTAGAATTGAGCTTTGCTGCATGCTTGTTTATAGAAATGCACAAATAAACTTGAATTAAACATGACTCAATGCCAATGAACTGAACATAAACTTCGATGTGTCGGCACAAATTACACATCTAAGAGCGGTCTAACTCAGCAAACTCCTCGAAAATCAAGTTTCTTTCAAGAGTTCCTTTGCTATAGTCTGCGAAAATATTCAGAGCCTTTTCGAGGTTGATACGTCAGAGCCATACGTACGTTTCGACGTTGTCGCCACCTTCATCAGTAACCCACACCTTACACTGAATCGAATCCTACTTTATAGCAGGGATGAGGAGACGTAATTTATGGTGATAGCACATGATATTGTGTTATCAACATTTCTTCATTTGATGGATTACGGCTGGTAGTGAATATGTAGAAATCCATCTTGTCAACAGTTTCGAAACTTTGCTTCAAATCTTGAAGCGAGGTTCATAAACAGTCCATAAGATAGACTTCCTTCAGTTCCTACTGCTTTCTATACATCACTAATTGAAATTTTGATGGTTTACCGTGTCATTACTTTTCCACAATGCTTGAATTCGCGAGATGTCATTTGAGCTGAGAACATAAACGTGAAAGGTCTATTCGGAAGGTGATAAGTTTCCAAATCCGCTCAGTAGGCGACAACAGATGCCTATAGTGTCTACGTAGGGAACACGTTGACACCTATCGCTCGATTCCCGAGGCAAAAACTTATTTCGCTCAATCAGACAGCTAATGGGGATTGTGGTGTGACCCAAATGCTCTTCGTGAGAATAAGTCAGTTCATTAATTAGGTGTTTTCTTAACGTAAAAATAGCACATTTTTGTAGGTTTAAAGCTCATTGCATTGGATGAGATATGGCTAGAATTGCTGCACATCCTAAACATACGGATTTGTACTAAATAAGCGAATACTAAGTGCTAGTAGTAATGCCACTGCAACTTTTTTGCAACATGCAAGAGTGCAGAAATATCCATATTCCATCTTGCGCAAGTTTTGTGATGGTTGTTTATACATATGAACACGATGTGGCACATTTCTGAGATAGAAATTCGAAAACTGATTGCTCGAAAGCACAGGTGTGGCTCAAAACATAACAGCTTCAGACAAGTTAACAATTCCGAAGAGTGAGTTGTTCAATAAAAACACCTACCAAAGCTACTCCAGATTTGATTTGCCCTCCAGGAATGACAACAAACTCCGTAGTGATTTAACTCGTCTTAGGGAAGGGATTCTCCCTGAAGTCAAACTACGATATACAACAGAATGTTAACTCAACACTAGAAAAAGGATGGTATATTCCATGAGGGAACCAGCTGGTGTGCCTACAACTCAGTAGAATCAAACAAGATGCCATTCATGAATATTTTGTTACTTCCACGCCGAAAACAGTAAATGCCGAGTCTCATGTAAAATATATGGCGCTATTCACATCCGTCAATCCAGAGAAGCTCAATGAGCAACTAGCGCCACGGCCGGGATTAAAGTAAATGCCACTGGAATCCGTTTGAGTCATTCAATGACTAATGAAGCTATAAGCCGTACAAAATGTCATTTGAAAGTCTAGCTAGTATTCAGTTGTAGGGGAAATCTTCTTTGAAAAATATAAAAAATTTAGGCTAGATTATGGTGAACTACTTAGTAAACAGGAATTTTCATTTAAAAATTGAAAAGGCCGAAAAGTTGATACAAAATAGATGGATTAATAAATAGGTATTTTAAAGAAGTATGTGAATAAGAGAAGAACATTAGTGAAAAGGAATGTGGGAAATATTTGCTGGTTAAAGTTGACGAGAAATTGGACTCTGGCACAACACAGTGTAACATAAGTTGAAATACGATGACTTTCCGTATTGCAAAGTTGCCGTCATTAATGTCGTCTAATCCAGTAACATAAGCTATCATCAGCACGTAGGCTTTTGAGGCCCAAGGCTGGTTATTCTACAGTGCACCACGAGCTTTCCATGTCAAAATTATCATCCGGTTCAGTCGCATGCCGGAGCTTTTCAAGAAACTCCGCCCTTGAGGAAAATTCAGGTAACACCAAACCTTTTGTAAACAGCCCATCCTTTCATTACTCTTTGCGATGGGATAATGATGATGACCAGTAGATAGAACTACGTGAGTTTGAAACAATCAATGTTTATGTTCTTCATGATTATCGAAGATATTGAAGATTTGCTAAACTATCGAACAAGACAACGTGACAGTGGTTTCGTTGGAAGGAACAGAATTTCGTCCAAAGTACATTCAGATTGGAATTCAGTTCTGAGACAGTAATTAGGTAGATGAAATATCGACGCATTCAATATAATGAATTTCTTTTGGAACTTATCTCTATGCAGATGCTCGTACAGGCTTTTCATGAATTTTTCTGTCAGTTTTTCAATTTCCAGCATTCTTACTAAAGAACGAGTCGCAACATCTTGATTACGGCACCAATAAATCGACCGAGATAGAGAATAATAGACTACTGCGCCAAGGTACACAATTCATAGGCAAGGCGGCTATACTGATGAACATCCTCCGATCTTGAAGGCGGTGATCGATTCGAATATATTCCACTTCCTTGTATCTTCCTAGAGAAGAATGGAAATCGATAGCAGTACGTAGGTGAAGCTGCAAACTATCGGTAGGAACTAGTCATGAAATCGTAGAGAAACTAGTTATGCGTCAAGCAATTATGAAAGGATACGTGCCTGCTGTACCATTTGGCTTTCTCTCCGTGTAAGAAGCAAGGAATTCAAGTGGAAAAAATCCGAAATGAAAGTTGTTCACATGTGATGGCATAATCTTTTCTTATCATGAATTTTAATGAGATGAAAAGAAACTATGGTTGCAAAAAGGATAATTTTGGTAAGGACACCATAGCGATGATATTGACTTTCTGCCCAACTGCCCGCACTTATCCTTTTTAGATAAGACATGCATGGAATACAATGCAATAAATTCGAAAACAATCTTCAAGCAAGTTATTAAGAATTACAAATGTGGCCAAAAACAGCTCCATGCGTTAGTTGTTACCAGAGTAGGTTCATTCAAGGATTTCATATGTTGAACTCCTTCGTATTGATCGAATTTCAGCTATCTGCTTTTTCATACCCATTTCACGTAATTCAAAACCACAAATCTATCAAAAGACACTAAACACTTCGTCCACTCAATTTGCTCCCTCGCATTCATCATATGCGAAGGTCTTCGAATTTGCGTGTGCAGTGCAATGTTACTTGAAAAATTTAGGTCCTCTTTTTGAACGCCATTAAATGTTGGTCGAGACGATTCTTTTTGGAATGTTGGGATAGCCGTGTTAGAGCTTTCTAGATCCTTCATCGAATATGGTTTACAGACTTTATGGATGAGAAGAAGCTTTTCCACACAATAATGCAACCAGTGTGCAAATTATGGAGAGATGGGAGGTTTGGCTGGTCTGGTGATAGGTCCAGTCAAGGTCTTGCGCGTTTAAGCAACTCTCCCACCACTGCATAATCCAGGCCCGTCAGATAACGTCTGATTTAAAAGAGGCTAAAGTCTTTCTTGAAAGTCGAGAAAAAGAAAGAAAAAGAAATAGTGGTGATGCTCTTCATCAATAGCAATAAACGAATGTGAGAAGGGAGGACTTTCCTCAAAATCAACAAGCTTTGCAACACTTTGGATAGGAAAACTAGTACGAAGAATCCGGTAAAAAGTTCACCTTCTGCAGCACAAGTGAGAGTGCTCTACCTCATTCATCTGAAGAGTTCAAAAAGAACGACCCAACCAGCATTCATATGTAATCGAAGTACCTTCAAGTAGCAGCCGAATCTCACACACGAACAGATCGAAGGCTTTCGTGGAAACTAGATGCGGATCAAGAAGTGCTGGAATCTGTACAAGAGATGTGGTAACAAGTTATGCAAAGCAAATTTAATCACTGGAGTAGTGATGTCGCTTCAGAAAAAGTGGATATTGAAAGGAGCGTTGAAAAATCATGATTAAGGTTCAAAATACAAAAATAAACAGTTAGACTTGACAAAAAATAAAGTTAGATATTGAAATAAACAGACTGGAAGTAGTTTGGAAAGAAAGATGTTAAGTATATTAGAGTAGACACAAGTAGTGATGAATAGCTTATATATAGTGATCCAAGAATATTGTAGTGCACCCTGTTTTACGATGACCGAATTATTTTAGGAAAACTACTGCAGCTATAGGAGCGCATGTGGCGCACTGGTTAGAGGTGGTTGCGTCACACAGAAGGTTAATTTGCTTTACATAATGGTTCGAACTCGCGTGCACGTTTCACTAAACTCTCCAACCCTTTGGGGTCGGTTAATTGATACTAGACTTGTGTGAGGAGATAAGCAGCACTGATATAATATATCGGTAGGCCAACGCACCTCGTTGTAAATTCCAGGCATGCATTCAATCACTTCAAACGATGCTAGAAGTTCAAGACGAATGCATGGCGTGCCACTCACAGATCGATCAACGTCGAGGGCTTTACCCTTTCATTCATTTTACTGCAGCTACATGAAGCCTTCATAGGGAAGAGAAAGTGAAATATTCCCCATATTCTACACGAATATAAACAATATATTTACTAGCTTCAAAACTGAAGTTACCTGTAACGGTCGCTGGCATCCGTCATCAATCACGAACTAAACAATTAGCATAGTAACGATGCACTTAGAATGGAATATGCAAAAATTACCACGAAAGAAATGAAAATAGCGAATGATTGGAGTAATTGGTAAGAGAAGACGAAATAGACGGTAGAGCCGTCTCGATGGAAAAGTTCTGCGAATTTTGCATATCGATCGCATTGACCTTGTGTTGTTATTGAAACGCTTCTTTTCCACAGATGTCCGTGACTTTGGAACCCTTTAGGCGTTCCAAATTATTCCTTTCTTATTCTTATCAAATTTCTTGAACTCATCGTTTCAAAATCCAGCTTTTTGTAAACTTTCTCCGTCTATTTGATTAATTGTACAGATTACTCCTGTGAGGCAGGTGAGCTCGAAACTAGTTGTTGAAGTTTTCCTAATGGCATTTAGTTCATTCATTTTCCTGATCTTTCTTCCAAAATTGTTCTTTATTCCATTCACACTGCACTGGAAATACTTGAATATATCGATTCCTCTAGGTCATAATCAAAGCTCATAAATTGCTTTTTTCTACTATAATATAGCAACAATTCCTGCTGTCTATCATATTATCGTTTGATAAATTAGCACCTTCCATTATCTCAATTCATTTTTGAACCCTTTGTGGACAATAACTTGTTCTTTTTTTTAGACTTTTGTTAAACCTTTCGATAGCTTATATCTCGGCAATTTTGATGCTATACTTAGTTTTTAGAAAGGCTTACTAGTACGCTGTAAAAGCGAAAATAAGATTACGTTCCACACTCGACGCGTAAGTTTTTTCGATAGGGTTTGTGGATGATCGGTCTTCACAGAGCACTAGAACCGAGAAGAAGAATTTTTTTCTGCACTCATAGGCTTGAGCTTAGACTTAGGTTTCATAGCGGGTTATATCTGACAATATAGAATGAAAATGAAGGCCCGCGCTCATAAAACTACAGAGCACAGTCTTTTCTATAATTATAGTGCACAGAACTTATAAATTTCTACGAGACGGGGCAAAAATTTTTAAATAAATAACGAATAACGCGCCCTTTCGAAGCGGTTCTGGGATCGCTGCACCCAGCGCGATTACGAGACGCGTTAATGCACGCCGAGTATAGAACTCATTCTTATTTCCGCTGCTTCAGTCCACTGAGAAGGTCGTTTTAAAAACAAAGTATAGTATCGAAATTGCCAAAATTCAATCTATCAATTGAGTGCTGAATCTCTAAAAAATAGTGTAAATCTTTTGCTCTCAAAGGGTCGAAAAATGGTCCAAGACAACGAGATTGTATCATGATTATTATACATTCTTTGGTGATGAGATGAAAATACCTCAGTATCCGTTTTTCGTAGAACTCACAAAAAACTTTCAGGATTTGAAACAAACTGGAATTTACACAGTTGGCTGTACTCATGCACACGCTCCAACAAAAGATTGCAGGAAAGCTGGACTTGCTGGTTTGCTGAGCTTTTGAGGTTTCTATGTAGAATCAGCTTAAAAAGCATTCAGCGGCATTCATAAAGAAGATAAAAATCCTCAAAAAACAGCTAAATGGACACGCACGGATGCTAGGAAAGGTATTGAATGCAAGAAATACCGGGGTTCGGACAATATGTGATGCCGCGTAGTGCAAAATATGATGAAATACTAGATGAATAAGAGGTTGTTAAATTGAGACCTAAGTGTATAAATGCATACATTCAAGTGATGCTAGAAGAACTACCACAAAAGAAAAAGATAAAGCAGATCTCATGGAAGGCTCAAAATATGTAGTTAAATTATATTGTCCGTAAGCGAGATCTCAAAACAGTCGATTGCAGTGTTTGTTTAATATGCTCATATAGCAGCAAATACGCCATGCAATCGAAAATCAATCACACCTGACACTTTGAGAAAACGCCACGGTGATTGTTTCACCGTACGCCGAGTTTAAAATGTTTGCTGTCGATTATTCTATGTAGAGGTAGATCCTCGAGGAACTGACTGAACGAAAAGGCAGCGTGCAACTGACGAGGCTGTAAGGCCGAAACACGTACTTTGCACCGTATAGGTGCCCATAACAGACCTCATTAAAAGTTCAAAATACATTGCCAGAATACGTTGATCTTGAACGAGGTCTCAAAATAGACGATTACAATCTTTGTTACATATCACAAAAAAGTTGTGATGACTAAGATGTGAGAGATAAATAAGAAAGGAGAAATGAGTTTTTTATCGTTTATGCAAACTTACACTGTACACTTTGTTGATTCTACACACCAAGCCCATTGTCGCAGTCTTCGATAACAATCACTTTATCGCTTTCTTTGATCCGTTTCACAATTTTTTCACTGTGTGGTCCCAGTACTTCTTGAATTCAAATCGTTTTCTGTTTTCTTCCCAAACAAACCAAATAATGGTTGGCACGTTTTCTTATAACCTCGAAGATAGCCTGGCTGTGGCGATCTTCAATAACAATCTACAGTAAAAAAGCAGTTGTGGCCTCCTAAAAACGTTAATTTTGCCCTTTATCCTCTATCTGATATATTCACCCATAGCACCCCTACAATTTGTAACTTCATGTGTTGCGAGCAATTTTTCTCTGGTAAAATTGCCGCGAGATTGGCGCTTATCGGTAGCAACAATGTAGATAGTGTCGTTTACGAAGATCTTCTACATACGTTATTTTAAAATACAGCTGTGCATGAGGAACGAAAAATAATTATTGATTTGAGGCTGCAGCTCAGGTAGAGTAATGTTGTCTCAGAGTCACTTCAGGTTCACCAAGGCGGGTCCGAAAATTAATTTCATATCTCCAAGACCGACTATCTATTAACCTCGGCATAGACTGAATAAATGAGTATTTTCTTCTGCTTAGCCGTTCCGAGGTGTTATTGATATCATTTATTGAATATTAGAATATATATGAAATATTCCATAAAAAATATCAATAACACCTCGGAACGGCTGAACAGAAGAAAATACGCAGTCTCATATTTGTTTGGAAGCAACCTACTCTTGGTTCAGATAAGGACACTGTAGCCCGACTAGGAATAATGGACTGGAGCACAATTCAATAAAATGAAGAAGAGATGGCAATCCTCAAGCAGCAGCCGAAGAACACGCTAAATATCCAAGAGAATTGAGTGATGAGTAAAAAACACGACCTCAGACGAAAGTCGAACCCGCGTTTCATCCATACTGGGGACGAGTGCTATCACTACACCACCGAGCTACATTAGTACCACCACTCACTCTTCAGCATCTCTAAGTCAGCTGTCAGCCACCATCCATTAGCAGGTTTTGGTCGGGTATGCGAATTCTCTTTATAAACCCAGATAAGCTGACAGCCATTGTAATAATTGATACTCAAAATTTCTAGTACTCTCACTACATTTTTCGCCTGACAGCTAACATAGCGATGCTGAAAAAATGAGTGGGTGCGAGTGTACCTCGGTGTTGTAGTGGTAACACATGTTCCCGGCATGGACGAAACGCGAATTCGACTCCCAACTGAGTTCGTATTTTTGCTCGCCACTCAATTCTCTTAGGTATACAGAAACATCATGATACTGCGAAAAATGTAGTAAAAGTACTAGATTTCTTGAGAGCACGCTTTTTGTTTGAAATCTTTCGTGAATGATGGATACGAGAACGCGTCTAGAATGAAAGTAAGTGGTGAAACGCGTAAGTAAACTTTAGTACGAGTCGTGGGGAAAATATATGGTTCTTGAAAAAAATTCCTGCTTTTGACCTCCAAACTCAGGCATACATGTCTATGCAATTTCAACAGCTGAAGTAAAAACATCAGTGCCCACGTTTCCGGTGTAACTGCTGAATTTTACTATGAGAAATCGATTAGGATCGCGAGATAATGATAATGACATCAAAGAAGATAACTAAAAAGTGAATCGACAGGTTCGTCCGCGTGATCCAGCTATAGTCATGTCTACAGTGAACTTTCAGATCCTCAACACAGCTGTTAAGTCACACGAGGATACTACTGTCTTCATATTAAAAGGTAGTAATCGGGTGAAAGAGTAGAAAAAAGACTGGATTGGCATGTTATTTGAGTATCTAGGTGACGGGTTGATTATGTAGTTATCCATCATAGTTTGCTACAGCACCCTGTGGCAATCATTCATAGGGTATGTTCTTCCATTGTAAGAGTCGCACATGATTTTCGAGAAACCCCTATATGGAGCAGAAATCTATCGATCTGCAAAGCTTACGAGCTTCTGACAACCTCGAATCTCTCTGATTCGGCCGTAACTAATTTTCAAAAGGTACCATGCTCAAGGGAAATTTGACATTTCATCGAGGACAAAAATTCAGAGATCCTGAACTTGAAACCGAGCCCACATCAGATTCTTATAACTTTTATTGAGGACGATTAAACGACAACGGGAAAAATTGAAAGAAGTGCTGAGACCCATACGAAACGTGAAGATACGTCGTCTAATTATTAACAGACTATGTAATATCGGCTCATCGTTGTCAGCTAGATATCTATTAGTAAATGATCTGCTCTGCAGTGATGGATTTTAAGGTACTGTAGAGATGCTTCCAATGACGATTCTGTTAATAAAGACATTACCAGTAAACGGTTACAGAAGTAAATGAAGAATGGTAATCGGTTGATGACAGTTTAAGCGAGTACGGCGTGTGAAGGAATGTTTACACCAATGCAGTTGACTTTTGTAGTTTTGCTAGGCGACATGAGGGTGAATGTTTTTTTGCCACAGACTTGGTCGTCGTCCCTTAGTCATTGTTGTTTATGCAGATGTCGCAGTTCTTTCATACATTTTTCTTCATGGTTTTGAAAGCTGTTATGGAATCCTCAGCACGCGGATGACCGACTGACGCTCACTTTGACTACTTCTGTTATGAATCTGGCTATGACGAGTATCTCGGTATTTCATGTTGTTTCATAGGAAACTAGTGTAAACGGTCGTTTGTGGTCATACAGAATCCATTTCTATGCTGTACATCATATCAACCAAAAAGCGCATAATCCAAGTAAATTAATCTCTTTGTCATTCGTTTAAGTCATATGGTACACTCTACCTTGTTTTCTGACTCTCAATTAGGTGAACGCGTTGTGGAACTCAGGGCTTCCATCTTCGTCATGCAATAATGGTTTGCTGTCAAAATGGAATGCTGTTACTCCTAAACCGTTCCGTGCGGTTTCGCCCCAAGTTAGCACGCAAAAGTATTTGAATGGGCTTTTTTTATTCACGTAAGCTAATCCCAATATAGGAGTATTCTCTTCCGTTTAACCGTTACGAGGTATTATTGATATTATTTATTGAATATCAGCGTAGCATATAACAATACAGTTGATAATGCCGCATGAATATTACAACAGTCGTGGTGGCCTACGTTTCGGCGAGATTCGCCATCATCAGAGCCTGGAAAGGTCAAATTGTTTCGCAAATCAATCAGTCAAAGGCCTCCATAACCTCAGCAGAAAACGTAAGAAACGAAATTTGGATCGTATAGAAGAACTTCATTACAAAACACACCTACCCGCTTAAATGTTTTAGGTCTTTCCATTACTCATTGAGACCTGCCACTTAGGTCTTCAGTATTGAAAGACTTAAAACATCTAAGCGGGTGAGTGTGTTTTTGCAATGAAGTTTTTCTATGCAATTCAAATATCGTTTCTTAAGTTTTCTGCCGAGGTTATGGAGGTTTTTGACTAAATGATTTGACCTTTCCAGGCTCTGAATATGGCGAATCTCGCCGAAACGTAAGCCACCAGGACTGTTGTAATATTCATGCTGCATTATCAAGTGTATTGTTATATGCTACGCTGATATTCAATAAATAATATCAATAATACCTCGGAACGCTAAACAGAAGAAAACTCATTTATTCAAACTAAACTAAGGTTAATAGATAGTCGGTCCTGGGATTTAATTACAATATAAATATGATGCGAAAATAAATACACAGCATAGAAACTTACGTCGATATATAGAGCACGATTTGAAATATGAGCGCCAGATCATACATCATTAATTGAGAATGAAGCGTCGAAGTTTGAGTAATAGAAGCCACTTCTGTTTATGAAGAATGTTGAAATAATTTCTTTCAACAGAAATGGTTGGATTGCGAATGTGAGCTGCAGCGAAGACTATAGCTGCTAACAGTGTCTGAGATTGGTAATTGTATCTGTTAATCAACACAAAGACCTCACAACGAAAGTTCTCACAGAAACATTTTGTTACCATGACAACGTTATGCAAGAAAAAAAGATAGAACAACAGTGATTAGAGTTTGAATGGTAGAGAGTTTAGTCCGCCAACACGATCGAAGTTTAAGTTTTTTCGCTATGATTGGTAGCTCGGTAGAAGTAAACTTATGCTACGACCGACCTCGCCATCGATTGCTACCCTTTTGGAGGAAATATTGCAAGTTACGGACCTCATCTAAAAGATGTTCTTTTCTTTGTATCTCTCAGGCCACTGGACCACACCGGGCAGTTTTGGCATTGAACACGCGATGATTGATGGGATTATAGGTAATACAGACGATATCTATGTCACTTAAAACCCATCATATGTCAGTGAAGCGAAAATCTTGACATTGAAGATCTTCCATCTTTTCAGTATGCAATGGATAACGCTATTCTATCGTGGATGAAAGACTTCTATATCATTGAATTTTCTCGTAAGACTTGGCACAAGAGTAATATACACTGAATTTATTTATCAGAAGTAATTAAAACTGCTCAACAGCACTTTTAAAGTATGCACCATCGGCCTGAATTCATTTCTGCCATTTCTCTGACAACAAATCAACACAGCTCTTTGCGGAATTTATATGAGCTTTCTTTAGATATCAAATTTGTCTATGCTTGCCGCATTATGCCCGCTTAACGAAGACAACGAAGACTTTATCATAATTTGCTGTTCTACGAGTACTAATTGGGACGCGATGCCCAGGTCGCCATCGAGAACATCAATTGTACAAAAGTTCAAGCAAGGATTTGTGTTCAGACGAACAGCGTTTCGGTGTTTACTGTGATTTTAGTATTTAATGCTCTAGTGCCAGTAATTATACGAAGGCCTAGTAATAACCTCAATTACGAGTACTTTTTGTCGCTCTGAGAGTCTTTTGAGGTAAATATTGTTGCAAATCTGATCAATTTACAGCACAGAGTTAATGGAAATACCATGGGTCTTCTTACCTAAGCTCTTCATAGCAGCACTGAACATACTTATTTGCGATGTAGAAGCAACACATGTACGACAGAGACCACCTCTTCATTATTATAATTGGTCCTCTTGGCAAGACAATAATTAGAAGTATAGCGTGATTTGCAACTTTATAAAAAATAAAGCCATATCAAAAGAAGGAAACATCCGCTGGGCTCTAGAATGTGCAGTGGGAAGCATAACATAACCTTCGTGAAGACAGAACACGCGACAGTATGACCTACAAGGAACCTGGTTAACGATCGGGTCGTTTGGATTTCTATGTCAGTATTTATTGACTAGTCAGCTGCCAAAATTCATTACCGAGTTCAGTTTTTGCATTGTGATCGGTAGATAATCAATAGTCGTAAGAAGCGAGGCAAACTGGTGACCTGACATCATCTCGTGTTATTGTTACTGTAAATTGTAATGTGTTGAGCATTGTCACCGTTAAGGTTAGGTGTCGCGACTAGGTTGACAAAAACACTTTGAAATAAGAGATAGTGTTCTACTCCAGATGCTTTTGCTTGGGGCTTTCAACACAATTGAGGTGATAGCTCAGCTAAATTGAATGTAAAAAATTCTACCCCATTTTATTGCGAAGTTTTGAGAACAGTCGATGCCATAGATCAATCCTACCACACTCTGCTCGCGTGGAAACTGACCTGGATTGAGGTTGCAACTATATCTTAAAAATTTGGAATCAGTACGTCAAGACGTTACTGCACATCACACGCAAATTTGAAGCCACTGACTTGACCGTTCTATTCATTTTGATCATTCTCTTTGTGAAATATTAGAATATATAGAAGGTGATGTTCAAGCACAACTCTTTCCAAGAAGAAGAGATGAGCGGCAGCGGTGACATCTATGATAAATACATCCGTAGTTGTTCTACAAAACTGACTCTTACTCATTAGAGCATATTCAGTAATCACGGGCTGAACTGTAAGTTCAATCTATTATAAAATGTTGTCATGGATATGGACGTAATTTTGTGAACCACAACCGTTGCTACTTGTTTACACTGAA